CTCCCTGGAAACAAAGAGAGCAGAAACACTGAATGTCTTTTTTGTTTGTGGTGTTTGTTGTTAGCTCAAGGATCAGGATAAGGATATTTACCAGGATGCTGCTCGCATCCCCACATTAAAACAGCCTTGCCAACAGCCACCTAATTTGAAGCTGCATGTCTTTTAAATCTGTTTATGTTGGAGGAGTTGTGGCAAGTATTAAATTTTGTAATTTAGTTAGACATCTCGGCTTGGCCTTGGCCATACTTGGTGAACTATGATGGTTTTTTCCCCTATGATAAAGAAAAATAAAATGAGTTTCATATCTATATCTACACACACACACACACACACACACACACACACGCCTGTGTATACATTCTGCTGTAAACAAAAGCTCCAGGAGATAAACTCTTTTTGTCCCTTAACTTTGCTCCCCTCCCATTCACACACACACACACACACACACACACCAATCAAATTATTCAATATTATAACTTTTCTGAACTCAAAATCTATCTTAGTCTTACTAGATATTTGCCAAGTCTCTATCGTCAACCTTCGCTTTATTCTCTGTAAAATGAAGAGTTTGGCCAAACTAGGTTCCAAGTCTCTCAAGCCCTTCAAGTTTCTATACTGTGATTCAAAAGTGCTTCTAATATCAAGACTTTCCTTGAAAAGTCAGGTTATTTAAAATTATATGGGGCCTACATTATTCAAAAGAAGTAATGTACTGCTGAAGGTATTTAATTATTCCCGATGATAAATTAAGACAGGAGAATTTGAATATAACTTGACCTGAGATGCAAGGTAACTTAGATATTTGTATATAAGAGCCGTGATTTGGAGGGGCATGATTTATGGATGGAATGGGCAGTGATGCTTGGGCCACATGATCTTCCCTCCTCTTATTTTGTAGTTCATTGAACCAGCAATGGGGACACCTAACCATAGAGTGGCCCATTCAAAGGATGGCTCATGTCTGCTTCAAAACGATGAGCTCACCATCAGATGATCTTGGCATTCTGAACTCAGAAATACTAAGACAGAGAGGGAGTTAGCGGCAGGTTCAGAACCTGAAAGAATGTATTGAGATACCCTGAAGGGAGAGTCCAGGCTGTAGTCATGAGGGGACAAAACCCAGAGAGACAGAGGTACCGGTGGATGGACAAGAGAAGTTGGCCCAAGAGAGACAAGAAGTGGCCTTAGGTCCTGAGAGTTCTCTGGGTCCAAAACCTAAATTTCAGAAATCATGAGAAATCTCCTTTTACTTGAGAGACTTCCTATTACCATAAAAATGACCACACTAAAGTGATCAGTGTGCAAAAATCCCACAGAGAATCTCTATAAGCTTCACGAGGTCGTCTGAGTCATTTGCCATCCCACCCCAGCACCTAGAGTGACAAGCACGAACTTAGATGAGTAAATATTTCTTGAATGAATAAATGTACTCTTTGATCAATTAACACTTATTGAATAATTTTTAGATTTTACGTTTGTCTTTTACATTTAGCATAAATGTGTCTAAAGCCACATTGTATGTAACCCAGGAGACTATCCTTAAAGATTGCAAAAAAAAAAATTACCATCAGTATTGATAAAATTAACTAATTTCTTAGACTGGCTCTTTATTGCTAATCTAGATGAAAATGTTATGAAAATAGGGCTTTAATGAAGTACAGATTTTCTAAAAGTAGGTACCATCGTTAGACTCTTTGTAGGTTAAAAGAATCTGCTTTTTTCTAGTTATATTATGACATATTTATATTTTGGAAGGTGGCTAAGCCCTGACCCTTGTACTATATACACATGGTGGCATCGGCTCCTCCTTCTATTTAGGAGCAGATATTCTAGTGATGGATTGTGCTGGGCATCCCCTATCTTTCTTGCCTTGTCTCTTATGTGACCAAAAATAATGTTTCTGAAAGAGAAGTAAATGGGGTTAGGACAAGCTGTCTGTGACCAAGGAAACAAGCAAAGCAAGGTTAATTCTTCAGAATACTATTGCATAGCCACAGGCAATGGAATTGATCCCAGAGAATCAAGCTCATTACCACAAGGATCTGGACCCATCATCATTCCTTCATTTGACCTGGAATGTGCATAATCTACAAAGGCGGCCTTAGAACATCAAGAGCAACTTTGTTCCCACCTTCCTTTGTGGAGAATGATTGGTGTATTATTTGAGATGACCTCAAATGATCTGTAGAAAATAGATAAAGTTAGGTAACATGTATGGCTAAAATCCAAACAAATACAGTTGGAACAGCTATCTTCTCAACATAGTTATAAGATCACGTAAGATTTCACTGTCATTGTGTAGGAGGAAAGATTTAAAGTCAAATGCACGTGAACAGAATAGAGACAAAGAGTGCAAAGATGATCATAAATGAAGGTAGCTTGTGTTTTGAGGGGTTTTGAACTGTATAGACTCTTATTTTTATGTAATATCCAGGGATTAGCAGATATTTTCACATAACTATAGTGGTACCTATTATATACTAGTTGTTTTGCCTATTACCACCCTTTGCAATAAACATGGGACTCATTCTCTGTCACCTAGTGTTAATTTCTTCTGTTTGTATTTGAATACCTTACCCATGGTTACAGAGCTAACAAACCAGTTACGGTTAAAAATCTAGATATTGTTGACTCTCATTATTGTATTCTTTTTACTCAATCTTTCATAATAGTTTAGGCAAGGAAAATATAATTGGTTGTGGGCTCTTTTTTCCTCTTGTAAAACCTAATCTAAATGTGAACTAGAAGGGGAAAAAAAAGCACAGGATCAATATCTGAATATATTTTAAGTAAAAGTAAAAAAACTAACCTTAAATTACATCACAGATGCCTGCAAAGAAGGCTTGAGCGTTTTAATAGAATAACTAACATAAAGGCATTTATGTCTTTGCTATGCTCAAACCTGTGATCCCAAATCAGAACCACCTTCTGTGGAAGTTTAAGAGATTAAACCCATTGGAACTACCAATAAATATGAATCAGCACTAAGGTAATTATTTGGGTTAACATGATTGACAGACTTTAAGAGCTACCATTTGATCAAGGCCTGTAAAATGCACACATACAAGTTGACATCTTAGATTGAAGGGATAATCATCCATTGAATCAGTCTTGTAAATGCACACATATAAAAATGGCAAATCAAAACCTGAATAGAAAATAGCTATCACTCTTTGGTTTGGAAGACATATAACAAGATACCAAATGTGAGTGAGAAATGATTTGGAAGCATCAAGTGGGCGTGGCCTGCCTGGAAGTGACGTGGGCTTCGGTCACCAGGGAAAAGACCCCAGTGGCGTGGCAGTGATGTTACACATGTGAAGGGGACTTAAACTTATCCCATGAAACTCCAGAAGTTGAAACTAGAACTGGTGGATGGAATATACAAGGAGGCCAACTTCCAATGAAAATGGAACGGGCTGCCCTGGGAGGTGATCGCGGTCTCCTTATGTTTGAAGCACCCTCATAGAGGCTAAGTAACCATCATTCAGAGTATTCTGGAAAGGGACACAGGCACACAGGTGGCATACAACCCTGGACTCAGCTACAACATTCATTTATGCGTCCCGATGCTCACAAGTCTTTAAATCCTTTTATTCTTGCTATATTTTGAATCTGAGCAATTAGTATGATTTATGTGATCCCTCCCTCTCCCCCCTGAGTTATTTCCTTCTGTACTGTCTTGGATTATATAACGGTGATTCTTCATACTAGGTTGCTTTTAGATAGCGTGTGTTTCATTCGGTTCTGTGAATTTGATTGTTGTCGGTTCAGATTCTGATTGTCGTCGCTTTCTTTGGAAATGTTCTTTTAAAACATTTGGCAGCAAATGAGTGAAGATTCGGCTTTGTGGGATTTTTGGTTTTGGATTGGGAAAAAAAGTAGACTTTTTGATTCATAGCAGTATAAATTCAGAGATAAATATTTTTAGGGTCAGACCCACGATCCTACATAAATTGTTCACCTAACAACAGGCAGAGAGCATAACTATTTGAAAATGCAATAAAAATATAAGCTACTCATATTCCTCTTGGTTTGCAAATGCTTAATGGTTTTGCTTTAAGGCATATGCCATTAAGTCAGCAATTGTCGTCACTGGTGCAACGTCTCTGGACCCTAGAGCAGGTAGTAGTAGTTAATAAAATGCTCAGCAGTATTTCTTCCAGACCCACTCATCATGCTGTATTCTATAATTTTATTCATGGAAACATAAAGAGTGTTTACAGTATTTTATCTTTCTAGGATCAGAATAGTAGGGGGGAAAAAATGGAAAAATGTCCAAACGTCTTTACATGGCAATGATGGCATTACTGGTGTGTTTAATAAAACCTTTATTGGTACATTTTCCGGTGTGGTGGCATTGGCAGAGACGGTCCCCCTTTGGATTTGGAACTCAGCAGCTGATGAAATACAGTAAACATTAATTTGGAATGGGCTGCCAGTTTTGGAAAGCCAGGTGACATTTTATTATATTTGTACCGAGCAGGGGCTGCGTCCCATACTGCTGTAGCTTCCGCTGTCAGAGGCTTAGCTGGCATTATGGAAAAAAAAATGGCAGGCCTGAGAATCTTATCCCCTGAAATGAAAGTCGAATGCCAAATTGAAATTCCTGTAGGATTTCCGATAGCAATGGGGGAATTGAGAAGCCCACAATTAAGCATATGGGCATTAAGATAATTGTCAGATCTGTTGGCGGACATGATAGAAGACAGATGGGTACGAATCAGTGCGCTCCACTGCGGCACCCTGGGAGACAATTTGACGTTTTACCTGCCTGAGCTACTCTGCCATATTTGTCACTGAATGTACAGCACGGCATCTTACTGAGTGTGAAGTGTTTTGCAGGGGACTGTAGGTGCGTGCGTGGTCCTTCAGCGCCCTCTAGTGAAAGGCATTTGGGAGTCTTGTTTTTCAAAGGCCAGCCTTCCTTCGGCTGGTCCTTGCTGCCCCTGGAAATAGCCGCCACAGGCTAACCGCTATGGTTCCTCTCCCCCTTTCAGGTTGGGGCCCATCGTGAAGACGGTGTGGCCCTGAGAGGCAGCCATTCTCTTGTGCCAAACCAGGTTCCAGTTCCACAGCTTCCTGTCCAGTCTGCAACTTCCCCGGATTTGAACCCACCCCAGGACCCTTACAGAGGTAGGTCCGCCTCAGAAGGCCCTTCTGACCTCCCTTAGACAATAGTGTATCCAGTGTTGATCCCAAGCTTCCTTGGCACGCATTCCCCAGGAAGCACTGGCAGAAAACCAAGAATCAAATTTGGTACAAAAATGGTAAGCAAATGGGAAAGCAGTTAGAACGTAGCCGGCTAATTGTGTTTCTTCAGTAACTGTTTTCCTCAAACATCCTCTGAAATCCTGGTCCTATTTCAGCAGGGAATGAGACAACAGACTGATGAGAGGAAATTTTATTTTAGCTATTTCCACATTTTACTCATTCAGGTCCTCTAATGTGGTTAGTTGTAGCCTGAAAATGATATTTCCAAATGAATAGGAAGGAAGGAAATTGTTTTTGTCGTTTAAGATCGAAGGAAATGTAGGTACATTTAAAAACGGGAACTTGGTGGAATGATTTTCACTCGTTTCATCTTGCCCCAAAGTGATTGCCTCAAACCACGGGACCCCAGTCAGCTTTTCGTGACCCCGGGAAGTTATACCGCAGGGGCCAGACCTTGGTCCCGTGCTCCCTGTGCGACTGGCTGGCCCCATGACTAGCAGACACTTAAAAACACATTTTCTCATCACCCGCCCCCCATGTTTAGAATAAAGGTGGTAACGCTGCCACGGGACTATGCATAGGCTTTTTTCCACTGGCTAAACGTTGTACAAATTGAGTGTCAATTCAATATGTGTGTATATAGTCAGTGCTTCTTAAACTTCAGTGTATATAAGCATGACTTGAAGACCTTGTTAAAATGTAGATTCTGATTCAGTAGGTCTGGAATTCCGCACATCGAGTGGGCTCCGGTGATAAGGGTGCTTCTGGACCACAGGCCAGTTTTGAGTGACAACACGGACGACAGAGGAGAATACTCAGTAGACATGCCTCTACCTTGGAAATAAGTGGCTACGTGAGGGTCACGTCTTAAAATGTATTGTGATCCTGAAAGTTGAGCAGTGATCAAGCAGTGATAAAGCTAGAAATTTCTTCAGTGAGCAGCTAGCTGCTTTCCATATGTACCATTTTTAAATGCTGATTACTCCTTGAGGATAAGAGAAGCCTAATTTCAGAATATCATTAGGGTATCTATTGAAGTCTCGACTGCACATATTTAGCGTACTCCCTGGGAATTATATTTTAAGGACATTTTTCTATTAAATCATTGCATATGGAAGAAACTCAATATAATAGCTGATATTTACTTGGGTTCTTAATCAGAACATTGAGGTGTGTGATTTTCATGATTATGATTTTCATTGCAATTAAGTTGATGTTTTGTAGACAGTGAAATTACCATCTACTCCAAAAGATTGCAAAATAGAATTTAACCTCAGAGCCAATGCAGGGAAAACTTGCTTCCACAGGTGCGTTTCTGAAACTTCCCCAGCTCGCATGGAAAAGACTCGGCAGAAGGGTCACGGTTCAGCAGCATGAATTGAATGGCTGGCAGCTCGCGGTGTGCGTGTGCGCAGCTCGTGTTCAGGGGAAGCGTCACCTGTTCTCTCTTTCTCCCGTTAGGCATGCCGCCAGGATTGCAGGGCCAGAGTGTCTCCTCCGGCAGCTCTGAGATCAAATCCGACGACGAGGGCGATGAGAACCTGCAAGACACGAAATCTTCCGAGGACAAGAAGTTAGATGACGACAAGAAGGATATCAAATCGATTACTAGGTCAAGATCTAGGTAACAGTATATGATACTGTCGCTTCATTTAATTCCTTTATTGGACTTTGATGAAGTGAACAGAACAGGAAGAAACTATTCAGTTTTTTCCTGGTAGGTAAATCTACAGCTGAAAAGAAAATTAAAGGCCTGCTCTAGAGGTACCAAGGTATCGTTTGAGATACTGGAACTCTAGTGAAGCCTGCAAAGTCTTTGCATTTATGGATATGGCCGCAGTGCTAATTACACACGGTGACACAATTTGTAACTGATGAAAGTGCAAACGGTTGATTTTTTAAAACGATACATATTCTGCAAATTTGGTCAGAAATGATCTTTCCAAAATATTGCTAAAAACGAGATCTTAGCCGTGTTAAAAACTCCATTGAGGTATATGCAACTATGACTTTCTTCTGATCTTGAACGTGAGAAAATACTGATTTCCCAGCTTTACCTTAAACCTGTTGATCTATCTAATAATAATACCTAAACTGCTCCATCTTTCCTCCCAGATACTCCCTTCTACAGAAAGTACAACCACAGGAAAATAGCTTCTGGTTGGTTTTCTTAAATATTCGATTTCGTTAAGTTAGAATCTTTCTCCAGGAATGTTGCCTGTAGTCTGATGATCAGATGGTTTTTGAACGCCGTGACACCCCTGTTCTTTGCTTTAGTTCCCTTGGGTTGTTTTCATTTGTAAATTAAATAAATTGTACCACGACCACACTTCCCCCTTCTAGAAGCTGTCATTCTCAGGGTTAGAGCTAATACCCTTTAGGAATTAAGAACCTGCCATTTTTTTCATAGTCACCTTTATAGTCGTTGGGATAAATTGTGGGACATCCCCTGCCAAAAGTTCCAGAAAATGGTACAAGCTTCTTGCCCCTTCCCTCCCCCCATCATGACAGAGTCTCCTGACTCTCGGCCACATTGGTGAAATTTGCAGGAGGGGCTTTCACATCGCTACCACCTTCTCTGCCACTCCCGTCAGTTCTCAGTAATTTAACTAGTGGCCGTGACTTATGCATATTAATAGATTCTTGGAAGTTTCCGTACAACGTCTCACTTGCTGTTAAGAACCATCTTATTTAAAGGGTTACTCTTGTGACATTAATTAATGACTCCCAAACCGGGATGTGAGACAATGCCTAGACGGTTTTCTTTGCAGAACCAACCTATTTATTATTTATAAGTGAATAACCAGGCCTAATTAGTTATTAGCCTGAATACCTTTGGAAAACAAGTTCCCGCTTTCAGACCCACTCTGTGAAAGCTGCGGCACCTGTGTGATGTTTAAAAGTGTGACTCAAAGCATTAACTTCAGGGCGGGGTCACCACAGACTTGGCTCTGTTCTCTTTTCACTTGTTACAACCTGTTTGTGTTGTGGAATGTGGGCATGAATTAATGGTCACCTTGACTTGGTCGCCATCAGCAGAATTTAGGACTGGTGGGGTGAAGCGTTCAGCAGAAGGCAGGAGGCTTAGACGCCACGGAAAGAGAGCCTTTCCCCACTGGTTCAGTCCAGTTCTGTGTTCACCAGCACACGTCTATGGCAGACAGTCCCATCTGGAAGGGAGCTCACCCATGGGAAGAAGAGCCAAGTCTCAAAGGATCTTTCTTTGGTGTCTTCCTCTTCCCCTCCCTTACAAGTGTTCTTGGCTTATGTACATCATCTGTATTTGCAACATGTGCTTGCAACCCAAGGAATCCCACTCCCATTTGTGATTGATTGGAGCCTCTCAGCTGTAATTGGTCCTTACTGCAATTTGGAAGATACCCAGAGATTCTCCAAACTGGAAGATCCAGAGCCATGCATGTTAAGCCAACAGCCATTAAGTGTACATTAAACTGACTAGATAACTTACTCCGTATCCTCCTGCCCTGAAATGTTGTGGTTAACGTCTTTATTCTGTGGACATTGCAGATTTGTGGAAGTTTAAAGTAGAGGTTAACCTTCATGGTCATTTAGATCAACGCTTAGACCTCCAGGTTAACATCCTGGCAGATGGTCACCTCCATATTAGTTCAGATAATGAGGAGTCTATTACTTTTCAGTGAAGTTTACTTCATTTTTGTGTATCTTTTATATCTCTTACGCCCAAAAAGCTTCTTGCTCATGTTAACTCAAATATACCCCACTCAGAGGTCTGTGTTGTGTTTTGCCTTTCTGCGACCAGACGTCTCTCATGCCTCGCTTTTTTGTGTGATCACCCATGAAATATTTGAGGCCCTGATGTCATGCAACCTTCCTTATATGATATGCCTTCCAGATGACTCATCATCCTATTTGCCCTCCGTTCAAAAGTTTCTAATTAGTCAGGATGACACCCAGAAACAGACAGAAGGAATATTGCCTTTCCAGACTCTATGGGAGCCAACCATGCCTTTTCTATGAATCATGTAATATTTTGGTTCTAACCATCAGAGATTAGCTTTTGGGCTTCATTCTTGACTCACAATGAGATCATGGTCATTCATAAAGAGTAGGTGTTTGGTATTTGCTCCGTTTTATTTTGTTTGCTTTGCATAGTGCATGTCAGCTCAGATTTTCCCAACTTGTTTTGGGGGCTCATAAATACCCATGGTGTTAAAAGCCATGGAGATCATGGTTTCTCTCACATTTTTATTTAATGCATGGAGAAAATGAGACTCAGATACACTGGGTGGAATAACCATGCCTTCCAAGCTAGTTATTAGTGAGACATGGACAAGTTTCCTGTCTCCACTCTCACTGCTCTGGTGTCTTGAATGTAGGTCCTTCTTAGTCCTCTTTAGCTGTACCGTGTTCATTCGGACCTATCCGGGTCTTTTCTCAGGCACTTGTTTTCCTCGGGTTCCAGATGACCCAGTATGAAAGTTAAAAACAACAACACGCACACCTTCAGTCTGTCTAAAACGCTCGGCTTTGTGGCCACGCAGAGGAGCCTCCAGGCTAAGTTGATGGTGGCCTTGCAGAGTGTGGCCTCATTGATAAAAGTGTTTGCCCCTTCTCCCCCCCCCCCCCCCACATCAGCAAGGGCACACTGTGGGCCCTCACTTTCACCCCTCTGGTTTTGCTTGGGTTGAATGTCTGGGAGAAACTGAATGTGTGGATTGTCACAGCCATCTGTAGCCGTCCCAAGTTCAAGTGGATGTAAAATCCTGCCCAGGACGACAGCCGAAGATGGACACATCCCCTGAAAACTCTGGAAGAAAACAAAACCAATTTAGAGATCTCCTTTTTCCCCACACCATTAGAAAATGTCGCATCCCTTTTGTCCCCCAGCAATAACGATGACGAGGACCTGACACCGGAGCAGAAGGCAGAGCGCGAGAAGGAGCGAAGGATGGCCAACAATGCCCGTGAGCGCCTGCGCGTCCGCGACATCAACGAGGCTTTCAAGGAGCTCGGCCGCATGGTGCAGCTCCACCTCAAGAGTGACAAGCCCCAGACCAAGCTCCTGATCCTCCACCAGGCCGTGGCCGTCATCCTCAGCCTGGAGCAGCAGGTCCGAGGTCAGTGCCCCCGCCGCCACCCCGGCGAGGTCCCGGCAGCCTGCAGCTGCAGCGAGTGGGGCTGGGCTTGCCCGCCTGGAGCAGGCGCACAGAGGTGGCCCCAGAAGCCTCGTTCAGAGCAACGAGGTCAAGTGCAGATCGCGTCTGAATCTACAAGGCAGCTTCCCTTGTCTCCTGTAGTTAGGGGTCCAGGTCTCTCTTACAAGTAAGACGGCACCGCAGCGTTTTTGTACATATTCTCAGAGACCCAAGTTTGGTATATTTGTTTTACCAACTTTCTTATTCTGTGAAGTGGCTCCTTCAACTTGTACTAGTGACGGACCAAATGCATGACTACAGCATGCCTTTCCTGCCTCTTCCTCTCTCTCGGTAATGTAGAACCCCCCAGAAAGGATCAACAGACGCACGGAAGAGTGCATTACTGCCTCTTCCAGAAGCCATGGGCACTAACTACATTCTCTGCTTCCATCTTCCACAGAGAGGAATCTGAATCCGAAAGCCGCATGTCTGAAAAGAAGGGAGGAAGAGAAGGTGTCCTCAGAACCTCCCCCGCTCTCCTTGGCGGGCCCCCACCCTGGGATGGGAGACGCGTCAAACCACATGGGACAGATGTAAAAGGGCAAGTGTGTTCTCAGCCATTTCAGAAATCCTTTCCTTTGTCGCTCTCACCAAGGCGTCAGCCATAAAAATCAACTTTCGCCCCAGTTAACAAAGTTTTCCCCCCTTGGGGGGAAAAAAGTTTAAAAATAAAACATTTACTTCTTCTGTTTTAAGTGTATGAATTAATTTTCCTCTCTTTTTCCCTTCTCAGGTCCAAGTTGCCACATTGCTTCATTAATACAAGAGACCACTTCCTTAACAGCTGTATTATCTTAAACCCACATAAACACTTCTCCTTAACCCCTTTTTTTGTAATATAAGACAAGTCTGAGTAGTTATGAATCGCAGACGCAAGAGGTTTCAGCATTCCCAATTATCAGAAAACCGAAAAACAAACAAAAAAAAAAAAGAAAGAAAAAAGTGCAACTTGAGGGGTGACCCTCTAACATATCATTCAGAATGTGCAAAGCGGTGTGTGCAGGCTGAGACGCAGCCCAGAGACTGAATGGCAATCTTTCCACACTGTGGAACAATGCATTTGTGCCTAAACTTCTTTTGGAAAAAAAAAAATATAATTAATTTGTAAGTCTGAAAAAAATATTTAATTTAAAAAATTGTAAACTTGCAATAATGAAAAAGTGTACTTCTGAAGAAAACTACATGAACGTTTCTGTTGGTATTCAAGTCAGCTAGTGTTTATTATTACTGGATATTGAATAAGGGAAGCTCGGCTGCCCTAGAAACAAAACCAGCAAACGTCCTGATGACAGCAAAGTGATGACATTAGCCATTCCTTAGGGTAGGAGGAACAGATGGATCTTATAGACCTATGACAAATATATATATAAATATATATATAAATATATATTAAAAATTTAGTGACTATGGTAAGCTTTTGTTCATTTGTTTCAGACTTTTTTCTCCTGTAAAAAAATAGTACTGATTAACTTTTTTAAAGAAAGATTTTACTGTAAATACGGATTGTTTTCTTTTTTTTTCTCTTTTTTTCTTCTTTTGTTTTCTTTTTTCTTTCTTTCTTTCTTTCTTTTTTTCTGGTCTCCTTTCTGTCCCTTTCCCTGGTTTGTTATCGTAACCTGTAGTGCCACCTCTGCTTCCGGAGAGGTAATGCAGGATAAAATGCTGACCCTGATGTTGCTTTTCATTCATAAATAAGTAGAAAAGTTGTTTCTCCAGTCTTTTGGGAACACAGGACTTAAAAGTCACATCATGTGTAGATATTACAAGCAGCATTACCAAGACATGGCAAAAAGAGTTTGTCTGAATTGTAATGTTGCGTTTGTGACCCTATTCTGGGATTTTCAGAGGTACAAGGTTAGAATGCTACAATGTTACCACTGTGCCTTCCAATGTTTATATCATCGGAAACATAACATAATCAAAGTGGCTGTGATTTAACAAAATGATTAAGGTGTTACCTACATGTGTAGCCGAAGTAGTGTGCAGTGAGGCGTTTCTGAATACATGGTCAGATTTTTGGAAAAAAACAAAAACAAAAAAAAATACAAGTGAAGTTCAAAAACCATCAAATGAGAAAATTGCAAGTAGTGTGACAGAGCTGATTGATTTTGTTGCTTTCTTGATTTTTTTGTTTTCAAAATGGGTTTACTAAGATGTAGATGACTTAACTGCCTCCTCCTTCGTCTGAAAAAAAAAATGCCAATATTCAATCATCATGCAGCATTATAACAAGCCTTATAAGTCCTAAAGCATTAAGTTGCACTTTCTTGAGGAGGGGTAGTGCAGTATTTCTCTGGCCAGTATGAATGAAGTTTATACTTAACATATTTGATAGAAACATAGATCAAGCTATGGCACAGCAACTCATCAGATAGCTAGCTTTGATGTCTGGGCACAATTGAACCAACTTCCATCGTGAATCTTTATAATGATTGACTTTGGTGTATAGTGCAGTAAACAAATAGTGCTCCTAGTTAAGTATTTGTCAGCATCCTTTTGTGTCTAACTCGTTTCTATTTTTACAGCCACACAATCTTGGCATGTATTAAGAAAAAAAAAATCCCTGTTCAAGTAGTTTTTCCACCTATCAGCACTGAGTAAATGCCATAAATCCATCGAAATGGTCTAAATGTTCCATCTGTTCTCCTGTTTTGCCAGTTATATAGTAATGAAATACATTTGTAAATTTTATGCAACAAATGGCAAACGTATCCTTATTTTGAAATCGTGTATGTAAAAGTTATATTTTTACATGTAGACTCTTGTTATTATGTGTTTTAATACATTGTATCAGTTTTTGTTGTTTTTTTTAAACTGTGTGGTTTAAAAAATGTCTCATTTAAATGAAATAGTGAGCTACAAGAATCTGAATTTTATGTTCATTTCCGAAAATGTAAGAACAAATAAGATAGTTACCACGTGGTCATCTTTTACAAACCCATAAACATTTTGATTAGCTGTGTGTGTGTTGAAAACTGTAAATATGTTCAGTAGCGATAAAACTAAAATACTTTGATTTGTTGATAAGTTCCTAAAATGTGGAGGTGGATTAAAAACTTAGGAGAATAGCAGAAATCAAACTTCATGAAGTTATCTTGAGGCTTTCCTGTGAAATGTACGAACAAAGGGGCTCAAAGCAGGGCACGGAAGACAATGTTGTATACTCTCCCCTCCTCCTGAACAGTGGCATCCCTGTGTGCTTGTTCCCTCAGTATGTTAAAGATTTCCTTTTAGTGGTACATTCTGCACTCATTTTGTATAGTCTACCAAGGCGGGTATCCCTAGGAACAATATTATATAGGAAGCAGGTATACTCTGATCACATTCAGGATAAGTGTACAGAAGAAAATGTGGTGTTTACTCTTTAGGGAACTGGAAATACTCCCTTCTTTGATGTACATTTTAAGAATGGCACTTTTGATACGTGTTATCATGAAGGTGCTTACTAGAGCTGATTTAAAGTTTTTCAAACCTGTAAGCAAAGCAAAAAAATTAAATTGTAGTTGATTATTTTTTCAATTGGTGCTTTATATTTTGTTCTCACTCAAACAGAGTAAAAGCTGCAATTTATAGTTCACCAGCTTTGATGTATTCATTACTCAGTAATGTAATACCTCTATTGTTGAATTCCCTTTGGAAATAAGCAGAAAACTTTCTAATGGCCACCAAAAGCTGCTCACTACGTTTGCTTGGTGGAAAAACAGGATCTGCACCTCTACCGGTGAATTGGGTGGTATCCCCATTTTAAAAAGAAAAAAAAAAAGAAAAGGTGAAAGGGAATGTGGCCTTTTTAGTGTGTTTTTTCTTGTTGTTGTTTTGTAATTATCAAACCCAGGTGAGATATTGGTATCCTGCGCTGGATTTTCGAATGAAATTTAGCAGAAGACAGTTATTAAAGTACTATCCCGAATTTCACAAGGGTCCATACTATACCGCATATCTGATGCTACTTAGGCTGGGAATCTGCTGGAGAGACTTGGACTTTAAAAGCAACTTGGAACAGTTGATCCACCTCCACATTCAAGTAATTTATGAATATGCAGAATAGGGATCTGTTCATCTAGAAACTTTTACCATTTGTCTTCTGTGTAGCTGCAAGGAACACTAATGTTTATACAACTGTCAGTCCACCCAGTAACACACTGGTTCTGATTCAGTCTTCCGATTCCTTTTTGTTTTTCGCTTTTTCCTATTTCTTGATTTTTTTTTTATTCGTGATCTTTATTTTGATGAGGGGTTGGGGGGTGGGGAGGGAGTTGAACCAAGACTCGGGGTTAAGAGGATTTTCGTCTTGGATCCAACAGGCAGAATATGATCTGTGTCCAAAAGTGAACTTGAGTCAGGAATGAAACCATTTCAGCATAAACAAGCACAAAAATTTAGTCTGCTGGCTGACTGGAAACAAAAAAACAAAAAACAAAACAAAAAAAAAAGGTCAAGATGGAATATGATGAATTCCAACACAATGGGGCACCAAGGCCTTTAGGCCTCTCTTTTTATTTTGCTTTGATTTTGTTTGTTTTTCTTTAGAGACATGCTCTTTCTCATGGGACTTGAAGTGGATTCATCTTTGTGCAGTGCTGGTTTTGCCATCCTCATTTCAAGTATTATAGACATATGTAATGGTGAAAATATATGAACTGTGGCCTTTTTCATTCTTGTTACTTGTGATGCAATTAAGTGAAGATAAGAAAAAAAAAAGCAGAGATTTACCATGTATCAGTGCCTGGCTTTTTGTTATAAAGCTTTGTTTGTCTAGTGCTCTTTTTGCTATAAAATAGAGTGTAGTACACCCTAGTAGGAAAAAAAACTAAATTTAAAAATAAAAAAAATATATTTGGCTTATTTTTCGCAGGAGCAATCCTTTTATACCATGAATATTACAAAAAAATTGTCAGATTCTGAATATTTCTTCTTTGTAGATTTTTGGAATCATTATGAGTAAAAGTTTGTTACTTTATTTTACTATTTAAAAGATGTTATTTTACCATGTGTTACTGAGATGAAACTGTATGGTAGCTTTTTTTGTTTTTTTGGTTTTTTTGTTTTGTTTTTGTTTTTGTTTTTTAGTTGTAGGTCGCAGCGGGGAAATTTTTTGCGACTGTACACATAGCTGCAGCATTAAAAACTAAAAAAAAAAAATTGTTAAAAAAAGAAAAAAAGGGAAAACATTTCAAAAAAAAAAAAAGATAAACAGTTACACCTTGTTTTCAATGTGTGGCTGAGTGCCTCGATTTTTTCATGTTTTTGGTGTATTTCTGATTTGTAGAAGTGTCCAAACAGGTTGTGTGCTGGAGTTCCTTCAAGACAAAAACAAACCCAGCTTGGTCTAGGCCATTACCTGTTTCCCATCTGTAGTTATTCGATGAAGTCATGTACATGACCGTTCTGTAGCAATAAATGTGCCATTTTTATAAACTGTTTCTGACACTTGTTTCATTTCATTTTGCATTGTCCATATAGCTCTGATTCTCTTCTGTCAGTAAAACCACATCTATATTTCATTTTCCAAGTGTTGGAGGTATTGACAGCTTAACAAACAAAACATACAAAAAAATTTTTTTTACAAAAACAAATTGAAAAGCAAAGCACATGATTGACCAAGGAAGAGATGCCCTTAATGAAAATGGAACGGGATGCATGCAAAACAAAAAGAAAACTGTCTAGAGGATTAACTAATTGAAGGAATATCATTAATGTGCGTGTAACACTGAAGCTATGCATTTCAAGAGCTCTGAACTGCGCCACTTTTCGGTTACGCTGCAGCTTGCTAAGTCAAGTCAGCCTTAACCATTTGGATCAGTTGGTCGACTGTTTGGCAGAACCTTCTCAGCTAGATCTTTTCAGTTAAAAATCTAAGATTTATTTTGTATCACTTTGTTAAGAGCTGGATATTGTTAACCACAGTTAATATTACACTGTATTATTTATACTTTCTCAAACTATACCCACCCCACCACGTCTGGTTGATTCTGTTGACTATTAATCCAGATGTAAACAACCAGATGGGTTTTTTTTTTTCTTTTCTAACTTGTACAAACTGACGCGTGTCACCTATTATGGGAGGAAAAAAATGTACAGATTAAAATTATTCAGTGTTATGTACTGTAAGTTAATATTTTTGTAGAATGGACATCTATCTACTTTGCAAGACTTGGAGGCTGTTTGAACATTGCATTGTAGAAATGTAAAGTATTGTATGCAATGGAAAGGAAAGCCTGTGGTAGATGAGCACTTCATAACAGAATGTTCTGAGCGAGTACGTGGTATTTGGGGATGTCTCCATATTGCTCTTGTATTCTTTCTAATGGAGTT